AGATCACAATGGCGGCACAGCCCAGAAAGCCGACATTTTAAAACAGCCAGTTTTTTCCTGCTGCCGAGTCAGGACAATTTCTTTGCAGCATGCAACCCAGAAACAGCAAAAAGCTGTCTTAAATTCTCTCTCTCTCCTTTTTAAGCCCTCTCAGGTTTTTAAGTGGATTTAGCCCATCACGTCTGGGCACCATCTGTTGAAATAGGAGCGGATGCTGTGCCCCACGATGGGCGGCCAATCCTTCACTACACAGTGAGTCAAGTCTACCTTGGGTTACATGAGACTATCTACAAATACAATTTTAGCCAGGCAGTAGTGGTGCATGCCTTTTATGCCAGCACGCAGGAAGCAGAGGCAGGCAGATCTCTATGAGTTCAAGGCCACCCTGATCGACCACAGAGCAAGTTCCAGGACAGCCAAGGCTACACAGTGAAACCCTGTCTCAAAAAAAAAAAAAAAAAAAAAAAAAAAAGCCACCCAAATAATAATAATAATTAATAATATAATTTTCAAAAAGGAGAGAAAGAGAAAAAGTAAAAATAATAGAATCCCAATGGTATTCTTCATAGAAAAGGAAAAAAAAATTCAAAATTTGTATGGACCCACAAAAGACTCCAGGTTGCTAAAGCAATTCTAATTAGAAAGAACACAGACTGCATAAATTCTTTCCAGCTATCCAGTTGTTATGGTTAGCCCTAGGTGTCGACAACCAAGGGTCATCACCTGAGAAGAGAATCTTAATAAGGGACTGCTAGGTCTGTCAGGAATTAGGCTGATTATATTTATTAGCTGAAGTGAGAAGACTCACCTCCTTCAGGTGGCACCAGACAGGGGCTCCTGAGCTGTCTAGGTGTCTAGTGTGGAAAGTGAACTGAACACAAACATGCATGCGTCTCAACCGTGAACAGGATGTCTCCCAGTCAGCTCAAGCCCCTGCTGCTGTGACTTACCCGTAACCTGGGACTGTGAGAGAAGTACCTTCTCCCCTAAGTTGCTTTTATGAGAGTACAATAACACAGCAACAGGAAACAAAACTAACATACTGTCTGACGGGAACATCTAGAATATTCAAAAAAGTTAAAATTAAACATCAAAAAAGAATCCTTCATAAATGGGCACATGGCTTGAGCAGATAGTCTCACAAGAAGTAAAAGCGGCCTCCAGATAGATGAATAAGCTGCCAAGGAATTGTAGAACAAAGTGACATTGAGATTGTACCTTACCCTAGTCACAATGGCTGTCAACAGGGGAAAATACTGTCAAATGGGCTGAAAATATAATTTGGAGGTAGAGCCTAGCATGCATGGGGCCCTAGGTTCATATCCCAGCATGGGAAAATATACTGTCAAGGAGGCAAAGTCTTTTACATAGCTGGCAAGGATGTAGTTAGCACGGATTACTCGAAAATCTAAAAATAGAACTACCACACGCCAGCTGTGCCACTCTTGAGTTTCTATCTAAAGAGCTCTACATCAGCTCGTCTTAGCTGCGGTTATTATTGTTATGGTGAAACACCATGACCAAAAGCATCTTAGGGAGGAAAGGGATTATTTGGCTTGAGTGACAGTCCGTTGAGGGAAGCCAAGGAAGGAACTCAAACTTTGCAGGAACCTGGAGGCAGGAGCTGATAAAGAGGCCATGGAGGGGTGCTGCTTACTGGCTTGCTCCTCATGACTAGATTAGCCTGCTTTATTATATCACCCAGTGCCACATGTCAGGGCTGGCACCACCTACAAAATGGGCTGGGTCCTCCCACATCAATCACTAATTAAGAAAATGCTCTAGAGATTTGCCTATACCTATAGCCCCATTTTATGGAGGCATTTTCTCGATTGAGGTTCCTTACTCTCATATGGCTTTAGCTTGGGTCAAGTTGACATAAAACTAGCCATCATATCAACATACCACAGAGACACCTGTGCACCAGTATTTAATGCTTCACTATTCACAATGGCCAATAGGTGGAACCAAAGTAGGTATTTATCAACACATACATAAAGAATGTGAGACACACACAGACATACACAATAGAGTTTTATTTAGTCACAAAGAATAGCGATATTTGCCAGGTGGTGGTGCATGCCTTTAATCCCAGCACTCAGGACACAGAGGCAGGCAGATCTCTGAGTTATAGGCCATCCTGGTCTACAGAGTGAGTACCAGGACAGCCAGGGCTAAAAAGACAAACCCTGTATCTAGAGAGAGAGAGAGGAGAGAGAGAGAGAGAGAGAGAGAGAGAGAGAGAGAGAGAGAGAGGTGTAATAGTATTATACTAGGTGTGTGCACTTAAAACGGGGATGCAGAAGGATCACCTGAAGATCACCAAAGAGCTACATAGTAAGTTTTAGACCAGTCATGGCTATATAGAGAGACCCTGTCTATCTAAACAAAAATAAAAGTGGGGAAAAAAAGTGAAATTGGGTAATTATCAGAAAAGTAGATGGAAATGGAAATTACCCTGCTAAATGAAGTAAGCCAGAAAGACAAACATGACATGCTTTCTCTCACGTGTGGATTCTAAATATAAATACATACTTACATCTAAAACCATGCACTTGAGAGGACCCATAGAGTCAGATCTCTGTAAGTTCCAGGCCAGCCAAAGGCTACATAGTGAGATCCCATGACATGAAACTGGAAGGTGTGCTATTGCGAGGGCGTCTAACAGAAGGGAAGGTAGAGGGTGGGTCGTGGGGGGTGAATACGAGCACAGTACACATTATGACTGTGTTTTGATGTCACAACGAGGGACTGGAGATGAAGCTCAATTGGTAGAATGTTTGCCTTAAAAGCAAAAGCCCTGGATTTGATTCCTGCCACTTAACAGGCTGGGCGTGGTGGCACACACCTGTCATTCCACCACCGGAAGGTTGAGGCAGAAGAATCATTAGTTCAAGGTTATCCCTTGCTGTATACCAAGTTTGAGGCTATCCTGTAATTCCTGAGACTACACACACACACACACACACACACACACACACACACACACACAAAGAGGGGGAAGGGAGGGAGGGAGGGAGGGAGGGAGGGAGGGAGAGAGAGAGGGAGGAAGGGAGAGAGAGAATACACACACACAAAGTCATCATCATAAAACTTATTTTTATATATTATTAAAAACAGACAGAGAGGAGAGGGAAAGCCTTTCCTCAGAACAAACGTTAGAATTGGGTTACCAAAGTGACAGGTAACCCAATAAATAAACGGACAAAATAGAGACATTTCAGAAAAGAGAAAATCCAAGTTGATAAAGACAAAATGAAAAAGCTACTTCCTACTAATTAGGTGCAATAATCTAAACGAAAACTGTCCCCAGTGGACTTGTGGCATCTGAGCAGTTGGTGCTGTCTGGGAAGGTGCAGGAGCTCCAGCCCTGCCGGAGGAAGTTACTGCTGGGGGCGGGCCTTGAGAGTTTGCTTCCTCACTTCCAGTTTGCTCTCTCTGCTCTGTGCTTGGGGTTGACATGTGGCCCCTCAGCTTCCTGTTCCAACCACTATGCTTCCCTACCTGACAAACCCTTACCTCGCTGGAGCCCTACGTCCAAACAAACTCTTCCTTCTAGATGTCACTGTGGTAATGCTGTTTATTACAGTGACAGGAAGGGAAATACAAATTCATTCACTACACACCCTAAAATTACTAAGATGGTTTAGGTTTTAGGGTTTTTTTTTTTCACTTTATTTTTCCAGACAGGGTTTCTCTGTGTACACCTATCTGTCCCTGAACTTACTCTGTGGACCAGGCTGACCTCAAATTCAGAGATCCTCCTGCCTCTGCCTCCCCAGTGCTGGGATTACAGGCATGCACCACCATTACTGGTTTGTGTTGTTTTTAGGACAGACTCTCACAGTGTACCTCTAGCTGGCCTGGAACTCACCTTTTCCGTTGTGAGAAATAACAGACTGCACAAAGGGCACAAACTTCTAACAACACACAAATAACAATGCATTATAGTGGAACCACCCGTGGGACCCAGCACACATCCAAAACGCTGCCCATGCGTCAGTAGCCCTACAAGGCCCCTGCTGGTCAGGCCCTCCTCCCTGCCCTTCCCTGGTCAGTCACCTGGTTCCTTATATTAGAAAGATGTTCCTGCTTTGGGGGTCAGTCTTCTTTCACTCAGTACAAAACATTCAAGGTTCAGCCACAGGGGTGTAGTTACTTTTGTCCTTCGTTGTTACCATTGCACAACACGCTGTTTTATGGGCATCCTGTCATTTATATGTCCTTTCTCCCACGGAACACACAAGGGAAGCTGCTGTAGTTGACACCTACTTCCAGGTTCACACAGATGCCTTCTTCTGTGGATGGATCTGCTTTCAGAACTGACAGGGCTGTGCATGCTTTATCTAGACAGTGGTAAAACAAGCCAGAATTCTGTCACGCTCTCAGCAGTACTGAATCAACCAACAGATAGCAGGTTTTACCTAGAATAGCCAAGGGTTTTAAATGGAGAGGATTTGGAATTTCCCAGCAAACGACTGTGGCATCTGAGGTGATGGAAATGTTAGTTATTCTGACCGGATTGTTACTCACTAGGCTGTGCTACCACGCCTCTCCACAAGCCTGTCCAGTTACTATGTGCAAATTAAAGTTAAAAGACACTCAAATCACCATGCTGGGCGATGGTGGCGCACGCCTTTAATCCCAGCACTCGGGAGGCAGAGGCAGGCGGATCTCTGTGAGTTCGAAACCAGCCTGGTCTACAGAGCTAGTGCCAGGACAGGCTCCAAAGCCACAGAGAAACCCTGTCTCAAAAAAAAAAAAAAACAAAAAAAACAAAAAAAAAAAAAAAGACACTCAAATCTTGTGGTACTGGTGTGTGCATTTAACTCCATCATGTGGGAGGCAGCAGAAAGAAGTTCAGCCTGGGCTAGGTAGTAAGACAGTCTCAACTAGGAGGAGGGGGAGAATTAATTGATGAGTGGAAAGGAAAAGACAGGAGGTTGTGAAAGGCTAGCTTTCCGAATTATTGAGGCCAGGCCTGTAGGGGGAGACTACTCAAGTAGGGCTCGCCACGACAGAAGAAGCCCCCTGATCATTTCCACACATAGATAAGAGGGGGAGAAGATAGAGAGTTTAGGGGTGAAACTAGAAGAGAAAAAAGCTGAAATAATTAAGCTCACTAATAACCCACAGCCCAAAATCAAAAGAATTTTGATCCCCCCTTAGTCTAGGCAAACCCCTTCCTCCTATATTTAATTCCTAGTTCTGTACCCAATTCCTAGCTTTGCAGAGCAGGCTGACCTTGAACTTGTGACCTCCTGCTTTCCGACTTCGAAAACTACAGCCCACAGCGCCTACCACACCTAGCACCTCCAGTTCTGCTTTGGTTTGAATTTTCTTCCTGGGTGTGGTCTTTGGAATGTAATTGGCTCCCAGAATCTCATGGGGAAGATCACTATTAGGAGGCGTGGCTTTGTGGAAGTGAGTGTGGCCTTGTTGCAGGAAATGTGTCACTGTGGGGGCAGGCTTTGGGGTTTCCCATGCTCAGGACACCACCCTGTATGACGACTCCCTATTGCCTGCAAGATGTAGGACTCCCAGTGCCCCTGCAGTACCACATCTGCCTGCATGCCACCTCACTCCCTGCCATGATGACGATAGTCTACTGGAACCCTGAAACTGTAAGGGAGCCCCTTCGGTTAAATATTTTCCTTCATTAGAGTTGCCGTGGTCACAGTGTCTCTTCACAGCAATAGAAACTCTAACATGGACAGTGAGGGTGCTTACTAACTGCCATTTTGACAGCACCTAAAATCACCCAGGAAGATAATAAAAAGCACATCGGAGACCAACCTCTGAGCACATCTGTGAAGTTTGCAGGCTGGACTGATTGAGGTGGGATCATCCTAACTGTGGCTTGGGTCCTAGACTGAATGAAGTGGAGAAAGCAAAATTAGCACCAGCGCTCATCTCTCACCGCTTCCTGAGTGCGGACGCAATGTGACCAGACACCTCACGCCTTCCACACTTTTAGCTAAGGGCCACTGCAACTCTTTTTCTCTTCCTCGATAGGGTTTCTCTGTGTTACAGCCCTGACTATCCTGGAACTCACTCTGTGGACTGGACTGGCCTTGAACTCACAGAGATCTCCCTTTTTCTGCCTCCTGAGTGCTGGGATTAAAGGCATGAGCGGGTACCACCACCTGGTGACAGCAACTCTTACAAAGGAAAATATTTCACTAGGACTGGCTTACAATCCAGATGTAGAACATCTGTTATCGGTATGGTGGGAAGCACGGTGGCAGGCAGGCAGATGTGGAGCTTGAAGGGCAGCGGAGAGTGCCACATCTGGATCGACAGGCCACATCTGGATCGACAGGCAGTAGGAAGAGAAGGCGGCACTGGAGTGGAAGAAAAATGAGGGGGAGGAAACAGCAAAGGTGAAGGGGATGGGTCTTTTCGCTTCCAAACCAAACTTTTAAAAACTATGTTGGGGACTGGAGCAATGGTTCAGGGGTTAAACAGCTGTTGTTCTTCCTGAGAATCCTGGTTCAGTTCTCAGCACCCACATCAGTGGCTCATGCTTGCCTGTAACTCTTGCTCCGGGAGGTCTTGTGCCCTGCTCTGGCCTCTGAAGGCCATGTGCAAATGCATGTGCACAATCGCACCCTCAGATACACATGCACACACATGATTAAAAATATAGGGGCGAGGGTGATAGCTCTTCTGTTAAGAGTACTGGCTGAGGGGCTGGCAAGATGTCTCAGTGGTTAAGAGCACTGACTGCTCTTCCAGAGGTCCTGAGTTCAATTCCCAGCAACTACATGGTGGCTCACAGACATCTGTAATGAGATCTGGTGCCCCCTTCTGGTGTGCAAGCATACACGGAAGGAATGTTGTATACATAATAAATAAATCTTTGGAAAAAAAAAGAGTACTGGCTGATCTTCCAGAAGAACTCGGTTTAAATCTCAGCACCGATGTGGCTCTTGATTGTATGACCAATTCTGGGATCTTTCAGCCTCCGGGGCACTAGGCATAGACATGGTGCACAGGCATAAATAAAGGCAAAACACCGATACATATCATCATTGTCATATAAATAAGTATAATTTTAAAACTTTTCCTCTCAAGCTGGGCAGTGGTAGCACATCCCTTTATCCCAGCACTCGAGAGGCAGAGGCAGGTGGATCTCTGTGAGTTTGAGGCCAGCCTGGTCTACAGAGAGAGTGCCAGGTCAGGCTCCAAAGCTACACAAAGAAACCCTGTCTCGAAAAACCAAAAAAAAAAAAAAATTCCTCTCCTGCCTTTCCCAGTCCAGCTGGACAGAGCACATTTAACTTCTGTCCTTGCCTATTCCACAAAGCCAACATGGCTCCAGGACCCCAGAGAGAACTGAAATAAGCGGTGAGCTTCTTGATGGCCCTACATTCCTACATAGTTAGATCCAAGAACCTGATCAGGAAGAATTGTCCTCAGCAGACCATGACAGTCTCAGGGAGCAGAGAAGAAAGAAACCAGAATTCAGGAAGTCTGAGAAGGTAGAGTCAGAATCCCAAAGAGGAAGAAGCTACGCAAAAAAGGGAACTTCGGACACCAGAGAGATGGCCCAGTGGTTAAGGGCACTTGTTCTTTTTTTTTTTTTTTTTTTTTGAGGCAAGGTTTCTCTGTGTAACAGTCCTAGCTATCCCGGAACTAGCTCTTGTAGACCAGGCTGGCCTCGAAGTCACAGAGATCCACTTGTCTCTACCTCTCTTTAATCCCGAGTGGTGGGATTAAAGGCATGTGCCATCACCGCCTGACCACTTGTTCTTGCAAAAAAAAGGATTCAGGTCCCAGAACCCACATGGTGGGTCATAAACATCTGTAACTCCAACTGCAGAGAATCTGCAGCTTCCTTCTTACCTCCTCAGACAACAGAAACACAGGTAGTGCACATACATACATGCAAGCAAAACTCTCACACAGAAGATTTAAAAAAAAAAAACTATCTTTAATTCTTTTTTCTTTGTTTTTTGAGACATGCGCCACCATTCCTAGCACTGCAGCTCTATTGTGCCCTGCATTTTCCCCCCTGAAGGTGGTTAATAATTGCTAACTTGACAGCACCTAAAAGCACCCAGGAAATAATAAAGCCAGCTAAGAGACTACTGCAGCCCAAGAGGCCCGCTCCCAGGGCTGATCCTTATGACTCCCAGCAGGAGACTGACCTCCAGTGAAGTTCCCAGACAGAGCTGAGGTCTGACCTGTGGGCACGTCCTTGAAGTCTGCACACTGGACTGAGAAGGGAAGACTCATCCTAACTGTGGCCTGGGTCCTAGACTGAATGAAGTGGAGGAAGCAATATTAGCACCAGCGCTCATCTCTCACCACTTCCTGAGTGTGGATGCAATGTGACCAGACACCTCACGCCTTCCCCGACATGATGGATGCAGCTGCAAACTATGAGACAAGACGAAACCTTGCTTCCTTGAGTTGCTTTTGTGAGGAATGTTGTCACAGCAACCAGAAAAGTAGCACACTGAGTCACTCTCTGCTGTAGTTACCTTGGATTCCGTGAGCAACGAGGACTCATGGATAAAAGTGTTTATGACAAGGGACCAAAACCTCCAAACATCAGTGAGCGCTGCAGGACAGATCCCCACCCACTCCACCAGGACAGTAGCCATGACAGCCAGATTGCAGCTTCTCCAGAGCTTATCGCTCCCCCCCCCCCCCCCCCCCCCCCCCCCCCCCCCCCCCCCCCCCCCCCCCCGCTGCCCTGCCAGGTACCTACAGCATTAATTTCAACATTCCTTCCGGAACCAGAAAGGAAGTGACCCCAGAGAGTCTCAGCAATCGCGGGGTCTATTGTCTGTGCATATCCCACCTGCCTCGCTTTGCCTTACCTTAAAGCTCCCAAAGTTCCTAAGAACCCCTCGAGGACAGATGTCAGGTCACTGAGTCCCTTTATCTGTTCTTCCCAGTGTGGACACCCCACCTCCTTTCTGTATCCTTCTGTGTCCTTCACCACGCCTCATTTCTTTGTGTGTTAGGGTGGCTAGCTGTGCCTAGTCTGTGGAGACTAGCCGAGTCAGAGCGCTTCTACCCTAAAAGTCTGGTAAGAGAGCTAAATTATACCTTCAGTAAAGGTTGCTCCCTTCATAGCCAAAGAAAAACCAAAAGAGACGTCAAAACAGGCAAGCCAAACCGTAAGTAGCTTAACTGACGGCCAAGAAAGGGAAAGATTCTGGTCGCTGTCATTTACACAAGCAGCATCAGAGAAAAGCTTCCAGTGAAGCTAGGAAACAGAAAACTAAAGTGTTTAAACGGGGGGGGGGGGGGGGGGGGGGGGGGGGGGGGGCGGGGCGGGGATTAGCTAATAAAAAGAAATGAGAGCCGGGCGGTAGTGGCGAGAAACCCTGTCTCGAAAATGAGAACCAGGTGGTGGCGCATGCCTTAATTCCAGTCCACACAGTGTAGCCAGAGCCACAGTGGGAATAGAGAACACTGCCTCAAAAGAAGATAAGATAGTTCAATAGTGAAAGAAACGGCTGAAAATGGAAAATATTAATAAGTAAATATACAAACATTTCAAACTTCAGGAAAAACAAAATTTTTTGGTAGGGGTATTTTTGAAAGGGTTTCATCTTTGTCTAGAACCACGAGAACAAATTTTTCCACCAGTGTGGTATCTTGTTACCACAGTCCTGAGAAACAGGCATATCCCTCAAGGTGGTAGATCGGGTGGGCTGGACCAGTGGGTCTTTCCAGTGTGGAAGCTGGGAAAGCACCTTTATTAACTGGCCAGCAAACTACACTGGGTGTTTGGGACCCAAGTGCCGCTTCTGGGCCTTTCTCAGGGTGAGATTTTTAAACACAAACCCCACCTCTGGGTGGACACACCTCAGTTAGCAAGAACACTTAGCCAGAGGCAGAACTACAGAAGCCAAAAAGCAAGGCTAGTGCATCTAGAGACTTTCCCAGAATTGTGCACTTTGATGGATTAAGTCTTTGTTCTAGTTTTAGCAGCTAGCACTGTCAAAGTGCTGGATTCCAAGGCCTGACTGATGCTTTCATCATTGTGTTGGTTTTGCTAAGGTCTGGGGGCCTACTAGTTACAAGTGCTGGGATTACAGGCATATACCGCCACAGGCAATCAAAACCAGGACCTTGGACTGGCTAGATGACACTCCACCAACTGAGCTTCGTACTAGCCCTTTTTGTTTGTCTCACCTTGCAGCCCAGGTTGGCCTGGAACTCACCATTCAGACCAGGCTTGTTTCCAATTTCCCACAATCCTCTGGTATTAGCCTCTCTAGGGCTAGGGTTATTGGCATACACTACCATGTCAAGAACGAAAGTTACTTTACTGTGAAAACCTTGTAAAAGCCTAGAAGGGGACAGGTGACCAAATCCAGCATCAGGATCACCGTGCTGGCTGATCTTGAGTGTCAACATGTCTATATTTGGAGTCAACTAAAACCCAAACTGATGGTATACCTGTTGGATATTTTCTTGATCAGATCATTTGAGGTGAGAAGACCCACCTTAAATATGGGCCACACTTTTTCTGGTGGGTAGCCCACATAAAAGGACATGGAAGAAGGAAGCCTTTGCTTTTTTGCCTGCTTGATCTCACTCTTGGTGGCAAGCTCATCTATCCTGTAGCTGAGGCATTCCTGTGCTAGTATTAGAACCCATTTCTTCAGGATTCCAATGTAGATTAAAGACGAAGACCAGCAGCTTTATAGGAATCCTCCAGGGCTCTAACACTAGATTGGGACTTCAGTCTCGTGGACTAAACAGCTAGGGGATTCATGAAAGCTTAAAGGAAATTCGGTATTCTGAATGGGACCCCAGATCAGAAAGAAGACTTGAGGAAAATCAGAATAACTTAGATTAATTGAAGTACACCAATATCAGTTTATTGCTATTTAGAAAAATGTGACATACTAGCATAAGGTTAGTTTCTGTTTGTTGGTTTTGGAGAGGATTATTTATGGTTTTTCAACAGGGTTTTGTATACCCTAAGCTGGCCTCAAACACTGTGTAGTTGAGAATGATCTTGAACTTCTGACCTTCCTGCCTTAGCCTCCCACCAAACTGAGATTTTAGATTAAAGACCTGAGCCACCACGCCTGAATAGCCTAAGGTTAATATCCAGGCAGAGTAGCACGTACCCATAATTCCAGCATTTGGGAAGTTAAAGCAGGAGGTCGCAAGTTCAAGACTGGCCTTGACAGCAGATAGAGTTCTAGGCCAGCAGGAGACACATAGTTAAACCCCATCTCAAAACACAATAATTAGTAGGATTTTGAATGGTGTTTGGTACCTCTCTGAACGGTCTCCAGTCTTTACACAGATCTATACCTGATCCAAGAAAGTAAATGTTTTTTATAATTTGGGTGGTCATGCTAGGGACATGTGTGACAGAAAGTATTCTGCCCTAGCCTGGTGGTAGTGGCACACACCTTTAATCCCAGCACTCAGAGGCAGTGGCTCGTGGATCTCTGTGTTCAAGGCCAGTCTGGTCTACATCTACGGAGTTGGTTGTGAAGCTTAACCTGAGAAAATGGGCCACTACACCTCCATGTCAATGCTGTGGCCATTGGGGATGGGACACTTCTCATCTGCTGAACCTTCCTTTCCTTGTGACAGGAATGTTTCCTATGTGACAGCCTCACTAGGTGACCACGGAGAAAGAGGTTAAAAGTCCCTGTTCTCTGGAGGCAGTCTGCAGTGGCATCAGTTAGCTACAATGTGAGACCTTAAAGGCAGACACCAAAATGATATTGCTGGTGACGATGTCCTCAATAGAAGAACTCTGACTGGACAAACAGAAGCTTGTTATTGTATAAACAGAAACCTGAACTCAGCGAACCTCTCCTAAGGCAGGTTTCTGTTTAAGAGGAAGCCACTACTTCCCTTATCTGCCCCAATTGTCAACTACCTCTGGCAACAGCCTCTAGTTCCCCGTTAACTCAAACAGCCAGTGCTAACTCCCAGACTGTCCTAGCTGCTCCTCTCCTGCTGCTGCTCTCTGTCCCCTTAAAACTGACAAGGTGACAAGACTCTTCTAGCCACCCACTGTCCTCTCAGCCAACAAGTTGGGTTCCCCCAAATAAACTTTCCTTCCTACACATGGAGAGGTCTAGTTTGGTAGTTTCACTAAAGCCTAGATCACAGTGTGGAACCGAGGACTTGACCTTCAGAGTGGTCTACAGGGACCTGACTGGGGCCTCGTTGAGCAGCTGCCCCTTTGCAGGGTCACCACAGCCTAAGCTCTAAAGATCACTTTTGCAAATTCTGTTCCCTTTGCCTGCACCTGGCCCACCTCTGGCCCCAGGCTGAGTATATGAGCATATGGGGAAACCAGAATTTGGGGGGATTTTTCTTAATACTGAGAACCAAACCCAAAAGGGGAAAAAGGCAGTTTGGGCTGGGCACGACGGTGGCTCATGCTTGTAATCCAGACACATGAGAAACAGAGGTGAGGGAATCACCCCAAGTTTTAGCCCAGCATGGGCTCAGCAAGGTCCAGGACAAGTAGGGCGACATAATGAGAACCAAGAAAGAAATGGGAATGGGGCAGGAAGAATGGGAGAGGGAAGGGAAGAAGGAGAGAGAGAAAGAGAGAGAGAGAGAGAGAGAGAGAGAGAGAGAGAGAGAGAGAGAGAGAGAGAGAGAGCAACAATCTGGAAAGGCAGTGCAAACAGCCCTCAGGAAAATGCAAAAATGGTTGTGGCTATGCATTGCAATTCTAATGACTTTTTATCCTTGTACTGTTATTTCCCTTACATTATAGCTGTGGAAACAGAGGCACAAAGAGCTTTAATAACCTACCCAAGCCAAGGGTGGCGACATACACCTTTAGTTTCATCTCTCAGGGGACAGTCAGGAGGATCTTGTGGGTCAACCTGGTCTACATTGAGAATTCCAGGCCTGCCAGAGCTACATAGGAGATTCTGTCCTTTAAAAAAACACATTCCAAAACCAAACTGCAAATTAATAGCTTTTCTTGGGGTCTGAACCCCAGCCAGCTGGCCTCAGACTCTAGCATCAGCAGCATACTGAAGGAAGCCAAATTGTAATAGAAGATTTCACGACAGCTTGTGAAATAAAGGGTAGAGGGAAGCTAGGGGGGTTCTTGTGTAAGCCATAATAAATTATCCCAACACCATTTCATGCTCATGTACAGGAAACACAGAATTAGGGATGAAAAATGATGGGCTGTATCCGGGCTTGGTGCTTTGCCTGTTGGAGGCAGAGTCAGGAGAACAGCTACAAGTGTAAGGCTACATAAACAACCTGGCTAGTCTAGGCTAAGGGGTAAGACCGTGTCTCCAAAAATAGAGTAACGTGGGGCTGGAAAAATGACTTAGCTGTTAAGAGCACTAGCTGTTCCTCCAGAGAACCTAGGTTCAATTCCCAGCACCTACATGGCTGCTCACAACTGCCTTGTTCCAGGGGACCTGACACCCCCTTCTGGCCTCAGCTCCAGGCACATGCATAATACACAGACACATGTACAAGCTCCCAATCCAGATCTTCTTTAGTAGTTATTCACAAATGCATCCATACAATGCACACACACACACACACACACACACACACACACACACACACACCAGATTCCTCTAGGAAACTGTACCTAATACATGCCCATCTTCCCCTAAAAAGAGCAATTCTGATTTCAGTCCAGAGAGACCCATTTCAAACTCTGACCTCCATTACTGTAAGATAATAAGGATATATTGTTTAAAGCCATTAGCTTTATGGTGTTTTCTGAAAGCGGCAACAAAAACTAATATGGCCTCTGTAAACCGTAGTTTTCTCATTAACGCAGTGGAGAAATTCAATTGAACTTAGCGCAGGAGCTTTTGCTGACTTAAGGAGAAAATGGTGTAAATCCTAAAGTGAAAGTCCATTCCCTAGTCAGATGCACAATACAGGCTGGAAAATAGAGTCTAAACAACTGAGAAGGGGAACCAAAGTGGATGGTGAAAATATTGGGAGGCTGGAGAGATGGTTTAGTGGTTGAGAGTACTTAGCGCTCTTGCGGGGTCCTGGATTTGAGTTCCAGCATCCTCATGGTGGTGGCTCACAGCCATGTGTGAC